GGTCTGGAGGAAGGGTTTTCATGTTGGGGGGGGTGTGACTGCATACGGCGATATTTTACATGACTGTATTCACGAAAAAGAATCTCAATCTCAAGGTTCAATAAAGACAAAGAGGAAAGTCAGGATAGAGAGGAGGAGGAGGAGGAGGAGGAGGAGGACAACCAGAGAAAGGAAAGAGAAAACTGTTGTCTGAGGACGAGGAAAGGAAACGAGGGAAGGTCAGAAGCAGAAGAGAGAGGAAACAGTAAGCGGATGACGACATGCAGACAGAGGAGAAAAGATGATGAGGATGAAGATGCATCCTTATCACTTCCCCCGAACTTTAGTTGCCGCGCCGACAAAATCGTTCCGTTACGCAGCCTCCGACAAACTTCTCTCATTTGGCGGATAAGATGAATCTGCGAGAAGAAGAGAGGGGGGGAAGAAAAAAAACTAATGTTCAAAATGCATTAAATGTTTTTCATGTATGACTGCATTTTTGCTGACATTTCAGCTCCGTGCTCATTAATATGGAGACCAAATTAAACTTATGATTGCTTGTTGATTTTCTCTCCCCCCCATCCCTCCTCTCTCCTCTCCTCCCCCCTCTTTCCCTCTCGTCTGTTTTGTCAAGCGTTCATCCCCAGTTTCTCTGTTTCTGGAAAGCGCTCTGCCATTTTTTAAACACGCGTATATGATGAAATATATAAATATGTCTTTGTATTGGGTTTGCTGTAATGATGGTTCAGGTGAAAATATATCTGCACGATATTTCACGATTCCACAAATTATTGTTGCTCTGCACGTTATAAAGTATATTTCAGTATATTTATATCTGAATATTGAAAAATAGGTAAGTTAGAGCTGTAAATAACAGTTATTTCCACTATAGATTGATCTTTTTTCTCTGGGAAAAAAAGTGAAAAATGACATTCATAAAGTCCTCATAATCTGGGTTTTAGGTACATATACTGACATATATACATGATGTATACTAACATACATAAATCACAGTTTTCTCGTCTATATTTCAAACCTACTGAGGAATGAAATGCAAGTAAACAGCATTTGTGAGAGTGGATATCCAACATATGGGACCGAAGCAACCACTAATTAGTTTAAATTAGCCACAATTGATGTTTTCTGATTTTGGTCCAGACGCTGAGCTGATGCTCTGATCAACAGAAACTTTTAATGGCTCCAAAAGCAGAAAGAGTTGGAAGATTAAAACATTTCCAAGAGAGCAGGAGAGAGGTGGCGAAAGGTCAGAGGTCAGCGTGGCGCTTACGTTTCTCCTGTGAACCCTGGAAGAGAAAAAAACAAAAATCAAGAACAGGAGCGGTGGAAAGGATTATCTGCTGGTTAAATAAAGATCTGAGAGACTGGAGCCCCTCTGTCTCTCCATCTATCACTCACAAACTCATCCGGTCAACTCAGAAATACTAAATATACGAAGCCAAGATTTTAAGTTTCTTATTATAATGATTTACAGAATCTTTTTTATTTTACGCCACGTTGGTGGAAATGGGCTTCCATACTCTTTGTACCAGTGGCCAGTGTATCTCTCTCCTCAGTGACTGCAGAGATGGTCTCACTGCGTCCACACGGTCTTCACCTTTACAGTGACACAGACAGGAACACTTTAGTTTGAAGTTCTCCTGCGCGGTAGGGTGCCGTATTGGCTGTCAGCAGCTTGTCTCTGGCCTGCATCAGTGGACATTTTCATATGAAGTTGAACCTTTGTCAACATGCTGAGAGACTTCTGGGACTCTGAGTAGCGCTGGGCGGTGCCAGCGTGTTTTTCAAAGTTCACTTCACAATGCATGCCATCCTGTCACGTCTCCGGCGGCGCGTCAGTGTGGACGAGGTGTCAGCGTCCTCTCTCCCCCCCGCTCTCTATTTATTTACTGTATCTTTCCTCTCCCTCCCTCTCACTCAGTCTCTTTGTCTTTTCCTCCCCCCCTCTCTATCTGTCTCTCTCCGTCCCCGGGCCTGTGTATCTCAGTCCATCCTTGCATGGAGATTGACTCGAGGCATGAATACATCACAACTAGCCATCCATGCACCCCCCCCCCCACCGCCACAACCCCCTCTCCTCACACCACCACTCCCTACCTCCCCTCCAGTCTCCCCCCTCCACCGTCCCATTTCTCCAAGATCCCTCTCTCAGCACTTATCTCAAAGTTCGGATCTCATGCATTTTAATCGCCGTGTCTATCTTCCTCCCCCTTCCTCTTTTCTTTGACTTTGGATCAGTGGCACCCTTCAAACAAACAAACAACAACAACAACAACAACAAAACAACCCCCCCTCCTCCCCACCAGTTCCCTTTCCCCCTTTTTAAATCAATATTTGCCATCAGCGAATAAATCGTATAATTTCCTGACTGTTAGACGAGTGCGACGCCAACATATTTACCTTCAACTCATCTCTTTTTTTCCGCTGTCGATCCCTCGTTCTCGCGGCGTGGCTATTAGCTAAGTGAAGGGGATGGATGGCCGTGAAGCGCCGAGCGATAGCATCTCCATCAGAATCGGCGACGTTGAAAAATGGCCGCCGCTTCTCTGATGACAGCGCAGCAAAAACACACACACACACACACACACACACACACACACACACACACACACATGCCTGGATATGTCCTCTCACACACAGAGTCAGAGAAGAGACATTTAAATATTCAAATGGGGCCGGGCGGTAATGATAAACGACAAGGGAAAAGTAGAATCAAGTAGCTATTGATGCAGAAAATGAAAAGAGGAGAAAGAGAAAAGAGAGGAGGAGGAGGAAAATTAAGCAAAAAAGGAAAGATGGAGGCATTGAAGGAGAGTAACGCTAACAACAGAAAAGAGGGAGGAAAGAGAGATAGATGGAGAGTGATGGAGAATAAGATGGATGAATTAAGCAAAGGGGTGTTACAGTGAAGACGATGAAGATGGAGAAGTGTTGAGCCACAAATAAGACGAATGGAGGGCGTGCTGTAAGTAAAGAGACAAGGACAAAAGGAGCACGAGCAACAAAAGATGAAGGGATGAAAAGAGTTTTTTGAAGGGGAGGGAAAAAGTTGGAAAGGACTGGATATCTATTACAAACAAAAAGGGGAATACGACAGAGGAGAGGGGCAGAAGAGTGAAGACCTAAAGCAAAAATGAAGGGATGAAAGGAGTGAAAAGAGGACAAAAGGAGGGAGGAAAAAGGTAATAACGCCACAGACACGCCTCTCAACGAAAACTCACAGATAGCACAACTTTTAACTGTCTATTATACTGACCAACTCTGAAGTTAATCTGATCAGTTCTCTAAGAATTCATGAAAATACAACACGTGTAAATCTCAAAAATGGCAGCTACATTCAAAATGCCTGACTTCCTGTTGGGTTTGGGGCATGGGTCCAAGTGGCCTTTTTGTACATCTGGACATGATCTAAGTGTGTACCAATTTTCATACATATCAGTATCTATTGGGGACCCACAGAATATGGAATTTTTCGCCACCACCAAATTTCATGAGATTCGGAGTACGTTGCAGCTGCCAAAAATGCGATTCATTTCTAGGAATAATAATAATTCCTCCAGTTTCAATAATAAGTGCAGATAAAAGGAGGGAAGAAACAGCATTTAGGTTAAAGAAACAGTTTTAATGTAGGCTTTTATTCTGAAGGTCATGCTGTAACCAAATTCTGCTCCTTGAATGAATTAAAACCAAAACAGGTACAAACACAAAATAAAACGAAGTACTGGTGGTAAAGTTCCTAGTTGATAAAGTGCATTTTTCTCTTTATACATATGATACAATTATTTATAATAAACCCAATTGATAGCAATAAACTATGTAAAAAAGTACATAAATATAACTGTAGTTCAGCTCCACAGCGCTCAAACAAAAGCATAAACCAGAAGGGAAGAAAATATTCACTTGGTGCTACAAAATGGAGCATTTCTTTAAACTCTTTCCAAAAAGGACTCGGCAGCGTGCCGTCAAGTGCTGCTGCTGCGTTTGATTCCTGCACGTCTGCAGAGCTGCGACAGTTTTACCTTTAAAGTGGTCAAAGCAGGTGAGGTTGCGAGTGAAATCTGCTGAAAACTCCTGCGAGTGCCTCAAACGTTTCATCATGAGATGAGCTGCAAACAACAACAATGAAAATAAATCTGCTCCTTTTTGGAAGGAGCAGTTAAAGGAATACTCCACTGAAAAGCTAGCTTTTGAGTATCAAATACTCACCACCTGTAGGCCCGCCGAGCTTCCTCCTTTGTGGAGGACGGCAGCTGTTAGATGGATTTATAGCAGTTACAATGGATGCCATGGGAGAGCCAGAGTCTTTAGTTTAGAAAGCCGAAACTCAACCACGTCTCCTGCAAAATATGGGATGTAGAGTTGATGAGATATTCAGTATCAAACGTTTCTGAAACTTATAGATTGGTCTTTTTATATGATATGTGAAGGGAGGGGGGCAGTAATACCAATCAGTAGGTGGGCTTCCATCCACCTGCTTTTATGTTCATTTTCAAATTGTCTATTTATAAACCTGAATGGAAACGCTGAAATAAAAATAATAAAACCTCAAAATATTGAAAAAAAATTTCCATCATGTTTTCCTTCATTTACTGTCTCTCTTTTAATGACGTCATCTTGTTGTGTTGTTGTTTTGTCATTAGCGCCACCTACTGCTATATATAATGCTAATATCCAGATAACAACAGTGGTTGACCTAGTGACCATACCTAACGCTACGGCTGTGTGAATGAACATTGAGGTCTTTGTGGGGTTCTGAAAGGTCTCTGTAATTAATGTTAAAGAGTTCGGTCTAGACCTGCTCTATTTGAAAAGTGTCTTGAGATAACTTCTGTTATGGATTGGCGCTATACAAATAAAATTGAATTGAATTGAATTGAATTGAATTGAATTGAATTGAATTGAAAGCAAAACAGACACACAGTTGTCAAACGAAGTGACTCCCCCGAGCTGGGCTTTGTCTGTCCATCTGTCTGACGTGTGTCTGTCCTGCCGTCTGTCTCCAGAGCAGCCACGCTGAGCTGATGATGATGGAGAGCAGGAAGACCAGCCTGCTGGGCCGGGCCGAGTCTCTGAAGAGGAGCGGGACCGAACTACCCGGCGACTTCCACCGCAAAATACACAACCTGGCGCACACATGGAGACAGCTGGAGGTAACACAGACACACACACACACACACACACACACACACACACACAAATACATGTAACAAGGTTTAAAAATGCCAAACACAGACAGAGGTATCTGGAGGATCACACTGATATTTCTGTTGAGACAGGACTGCGTGTGTGTGTGTGTGTGTGTGTGTGTGTGTGTCTAATTTTAGGCTAATCAGTACTGATCTAATCTAGAACATGAAGATGATAATTAGTGTCGTCTCAATTAAGGAGCCCTGCTGCCACCGTGGCCTTTTAGCTGTATGCTGGAATGTAGATAGATAGATAGATAGATAGATAGATAGATAGATAATTAAAGATGTTTACATTCCTTGAAGAATCATCTTTAGAAATCCAATATTGGTCAGACTACAGTATATCCAATCAGATATGCGTACAAGGAATTTGACTCCAGCAGAAATAGGCAGCAAAAAGACAAACAAGAACTTCTCTAACCTTTGAATGAAACCAATAATCAGTTTAAAACTCTGAAGATGAAGTGAAGCGCCTGCAGCTGAATGGCCTGTTTCAAACCAGGACTTGAACAGCTCACAAACCTTGTCCCTCCAGTTGTCAGACTTAAAGCAAAGACCAGTGTGTTCATCCCGTCGGACGTAGGAAGCATTCAGGTTGTTGTCTGAGCGAAGAATGTCAGTAATACAGCCGGACGTTGTGATTGGAAAGCGAGGCGTTACAGGGAGCGATGGTGCAGATGTAGCATCATCACTAACTGCGCTGCCTCTGTTAGACGGAGGTGAATATCAGCCGTTTGATCCGCAGACACGAGGTGATAACGAGGTCCGAGGTCATGCAGGTAATCTTCGTGCCCTTGTAGAGAAAGTTTACTTCAAGTCGTCTTCACAGAAAAAGAAAGTCATCAGGAAACAGAAAGGCAGAGCAGCGTCTGCTCAGGTTGAGATGGACTGTGTGCTCGATGTCGCATGATAGATAAACACACACAGCTGTTCATTTTCCAATCTGTTTGAAGCGGCTCTGCACTGCCGAGTAATGACTGAAGATCTCAGTGACGTCACCGTGCTGCTGCATTTCAAACAGCACACCATGCTCAGTAGCATTAAATATAACAATGATTAGTGTTCATGGGTTTATTTTAGAGAGACTGAAGTTGAAAAGGAGATTAAAGAAACATTTTACAAAGCAAGTCTGACATTCAGCAACATTTCTCATTTGTTGCTGACTTTCTTTTCACCTGCGGGACAGGAGGAGACACACAGTGTAAAGGAAAGGAAAGGAAAGTTCTGACTTAAGAAATAACATCATCTTTCATATTTGGATTCCAAAAGAGACCTAGGAAAGCGCTGTGTGCCTTGCTGATGGGCACGTCGGCAGCACTTGTGCATCTTTACCCGGGCGTGGTGATTAATTCCAGGTCTGTGGCGGAGGTGACAGCTGGCGGCGGCTCGTCAGGAGGCTGAAATGTGGCGATGTGACTTTGTTCCTCCGAAGAAACAAAGCGTCTCCTGTCGACCGAGTGGCGCGTCGACGTGATCAGCTCGTTCACACAAACAGAGAGCGGCAGAGGAGCAAACGCCATCTGTGTGTGTGTGTGTGTGTGTGTGTGTGTGTGTGTGTGTGTGGTTTCCTTGTAGTCCCTAATGACACACACACACACACACACACACACACACATTATCGTCAGATTCAAAGTTATTGGACGTGTGTATGTGTGTGCATTAACATATGTATCAACGTTCTGAAACAGATTCCAGTTTAGAAATTAAACAACAGCAACAGATGAGTCTCTCTCTCTCTCTCTCTCTCTCTCTCTCTCTCTCTCTCTCTCTCTCTCTCTCCCTCTCTGTGTGTGTTTCCGCCACAGTAAGCAGACTGTGATTAAACTTCTATTACCGACAAAGAGACATTTGGACTCACAATGCCGTTTCACACACACACACACACACTCACACGTGTCAAAGTTTGTGTGTGTCATCGGGGAACAGAGGGATTCTGGGTAGTGATAGAAAGAGACACCAGTCAAGCAGATACTTTTAATCTCTCTCTCTCTCTATCTCACGCTATATGGCCAAAAGTACGTGGACACTCCTGTTTGTGTACTTTTTCATGGTTTAAACCCTTTTTTCTTCACTAAGAACAATAATTATAACTATAACTATAAATATATCTTTTTAAAGATAGTTTTAACTCAAGTGGATGGTGGAGTCCGCCACACAACTGCCGACATTTTTTTGCTTCTTCAGTGACATTGAAAGGTGGTTCAGTCCAGAGGGTGCCACACCTTTATCCTCCAATGCTGTCTTTCAGTGGCTGTCATTTCTCCGTTTTATAACTACAATGAAGATACTGATATCATACAAAGCTAGATAACATAACGCATCCATTGGTAATGCTAGCGTGTCAGGAAAGAGGCTAAATTATGCTACAAAGTTAGGCTGAATTTTGGCGATGGAAAAACATGCCCACTTAATCCCATTCAGTTTCTGTTTAAAAAGATCATTCCGTTTTTTACATGTGGCATAAATATGTTATTTTAGTGTATTTGAATATTTCTGCAGACTGGGGAGGATTAACAGTGTTGGAATTGTATAAATTAGGAATGTCTGGAAAGCTGAGACACATACTTCATGCTACCCCTGGCATAAGTCAGTGTCCCTTTTGTGCCACCCCAGAAAGTGTGGGCACGCCCCTGATGAGTCCTTCTGGAGAAAGATAGTTGATTGTTGAGTCTTATTCCCAGAAGATCAGACGGTTTGGGTTTTGTTGAGTGCTTTGGAGCCACATTACACAACAGGTGGCGTTCATGCTCCCAGGTCGTCAAATCCTAACGCTCATTTCTCCCTCTCTCACTTTATTTATTCTCCCTCATCTTTGTCGTTGCCTTCCCCTCCCTTCATTCCTTACTTCCCCTTTTCCTCCTTCCTTTCTCCTCTTTTATTTGGATTTATCTCTTACTAATCTGAATTTTAAGGGGAGTTTTTTTCTTGCCAAAATTTTCACTATACATCAAAGGTCTCTGCTCTGTTTGTCTCTCGCTATCCGTCTTCACCTCCCTCCCTCCATCCTTCCCTCTCTCCACCCCCTCCCAACATGGCGTCTGAGTAGCATATTAACGGGCCTATCAGTGCTGGCGTCGGCATCTGCTGCTTTGACACAAATTGGGAATTAACTGGAATTGATGTCCTGTGCCTCGCCTCTGAACTGTCCTGGCCTTATGAAGAATTTATGACAGAGCGCGCACGCACACACACACACACACACTCACACTGACACACACACACACACGAGCACGCAAGCTGAATTACGAAGAAAATAAAGAGGTTGTAAATTAGCTTTCATCTTTTCTGTTGTGGATTTTGGCAGCCGCTTGTCGTTTTTCACATTTGTTCAAGGTCAAACTGTGTGAGGACAGATACAGTGTAAATTCATAGATAGATAGATAGATAGATAGATAGATAGATAGATAGATAGATAGATAGATAGATAGATAGATAGAGACAGAAAGATGGAAAACAGAGGTGCTTTGTTTGTTTTTCGGGGTAAATTTACACTTGAAATGATCTGTTCATCAGTGTATCCATCCTTTTCCCATCAACACTCTAAAACGTTGGAGTCAGGACCAGATCACCACTTCAACCTGCAGGGAAAAGAGGAGGAGGAGGAGAGAGGAAAAAAAAAATCTAGTTAATTGAGTCCCCTAAAAACAACACACCATCTCTCTCTTTGTTCCATTTGCTCTCCTTCCCTCTCTCTTTATCGCCCTCATTTGCTTATTTTCATTTTCAGTCTGTCCCACTGGTTCTTTTTCATTTCCATTCTTTTACTTTTTGTTCATTTTTCCAGGGAGAGTCTCACTTCTTGTTCAGTCAGTTTGTCTGCATTATTATCAGAGCTAAGATGTAGATCTTGTGGTCTTCTAATGTATGTGGATACATTTAAACAGCACAAAAAAATAAATAATCTTTACTGATGATCAAAGCATTTACCTGACTGTTAAAATAGTGATAAATGCGATAGAAATGTCATTAAATAGACTAAACATATAATGTGTTTTTTGGATGCAAGATTGGTATTTTTTGTGATTTGGCGCCCCCACTTTCAGAGTGCAGTACCACTGTAAATATGGACATTTGTTATGATTACATTACTCATGTTCAAAAACTAGCGACTTTGCTAACACAGCTAAACATCCAGCAACTGCAGCACCACAAGAAATAGCCAGCCAGCGAATATTACTGACCGTGCCAACAGCAAGAAGCCAGCTCGCCGTCTGTCTGCAGACTCCTATTTCACGGAGCTCTCACCAACGAGTAAAAGCCAGACTTACTCTTGTACGGCGGCCTCTTGTTCGCCCATTTCGGTGCCGCTCTCCGTCAGCATTCAATGTTGTCCCCCCCTCCATAGTTGGTGTGTGACGCAGTCTGTAAAGCGTTGTGCACTCGACCTGGAGACCAAAGTTAGTGCGAGAAGGAATCAGGAAGCTGGTCTCTCAAGTTTAAATGTCAACGGAAAAGGTTCACTGTACACTAACACAGGTAACAAGCAAATGAAGGAAACATCTTTGACAACACTTCAGTATGTAAAATAAATAAAGCAGAACTGAATATGAACACATCCAATAATTGGACAACACATATTCAGCATAAACAAACACTGCAAATACAAAAAACACACAACCAACTCAACTGACTCTGGAAACTGTAAAAGTATTAAAGAAAGGAATCTGAAGCTGTTATGAGCTTGTTGAGTGTCCGCACAGTTTCACGCTGCTCCGCTCTGCAGGAAACAAACGGACTTTCAACCACAACCACCTGTAGAGAAAAGAAAATGTATCATATTATCAGAAACAAAATGAATGTTTTTGTGTTTCTTTGTCTTGAAAAGTGTACTTTAAGTCTTTTAAATTACATCCCCCTCTCTCTTTCCCCTTCTCTTCCTCTCCTCCAAACGAACCACAGACTCGTATAATCACTGTCGCCTCTTGTGAACACAGCTAACTGCACATTTCACCGGTCAGGGGGTCCTATAATCGGCCCTCTTCATCGTCTAATGGGCTGGTTTTACCTGCCAGAGTTCAGCTAAAGTAGTGTTTCCACTCAGGAGGGAGAGTCGCTGCTATACCAGCGACTCAATACCTTTTGTACAAACACATACATATGCAAATTAGCAACAGGGACCCATGCAGGGCTTGTTCAGGAGCGGCTCACAGACACTCAAAGTTTCCCTTGTTATGACCGCTTGTTAAAAAACTGCAAGATAACAGCTATCTGATCCTTTAAATTCTTTAAAACAATGCAATATGAACCCAGAATAAGACAAGATGTAGCATATGAATGGTGCTGCACAAAGTGTAGTTTGTGAAATGAATCATGTAAAAAAGTTTAAAACATAATATTAACATATCTCATTTAGACTCTCAAAATCACAGAGATAATTAAAGCTCAGCTTCCAGCAGCTGATTTCAAGCATGAAGAAACAGGATTGGACAGGAAGTTGCAACTGAAAGGAATTTGGCAGCACAGGGAAGCGATGATGGCGGAGAACCTTGAAATGTATGAATGAACAGAGAGTGGTAGAAATACACCGGTAGACGAAAGAGGAGACACGAAAGTGAAAATCTTCCTCACTAAACTTTTACAAAAGCTTCCCTTCAATAAGTAGAGGAGGAAGACGAAATGAATCATTTTCATCATTTACACTGTGCTGTTTTCTTCGAGATGTTGGACTGACAGACTGTATAGTTAAACATGGACATAGTCTAAGTGACGTCACCCATAGTTTCTTCAGTGTGGTCGTCACCATCTTGGCGGTGCAAGTGGTAGAAACATGACTCCATCAGCTCCCAATGAATCCAAAAATGAGCCAATGTGGAGCGTGGGTTGAGCTGAGGCGAGCTGAATGAAGCCTCACCTGTCACTCAAAGCAGCCGAGCTCTTTATTATGCATAACTTTAAGCCTTAATATAATTTAAACTGTAACCTTGGACATTTGTATGAACAGTGTTGGCTTCATTTACCAGCCGTAGAGGTTGCAGCTTGGTCGGACCCCATGTGTCACAGGGCTGCCTGTTGCTAATAATGTTGCCCGGCAAAGAACATCATGTCAAGTTTGTTAGAGATAATAAAAGTCTACACAGATACACACACAAACACACACTTGTCTAAATCCAAGAGGGGAATAGTCTCTCTCAGCGGCTTGCTGTGTCTTACTGTGTGATCAACAGGGGTTGGAAAATTACTCTGCAGAGCTTATTACACACACACACACACACACGCTGCTGGAGTCAGCCTCTTGTTATTCGAAGTTGTTCCTATTTGAAACAGTGATTGCTCCTCACCAAACACTCTTTCAGTTTGTATTGTGTCTAAATGATGTTTTGTTTTGGGTGTGAATATCGGCTCCGTAGGTGAAGCTGCTCGATGCTCTGAATGAGCAGCTGATCCGTTCGCACCTGGAAAAACAGCCGTTACGTTCTCCGAGCTTTGTTCGTCGACAGCAGCCGCCTCGTTCACACAGTAATGACAGACTGCACAACAATGATAGCAGCGGCATTAGCAACAGCAAGCTAATTCATAGTTACAATAGCAGCATTAGCAGCACTGTTGAGATGAATCATTACATAACAGAATGAGCTGGTGGGTGGGCGATCTATCACAGTATATACACAGTGCTTCTGCAGCTTTCAACAGGTTCAATTTCAGACTTACAAAGATCTTTTTAGGACCATATTCTGTCCGAGCGCTACCAGAACTTTACCGCAATAAATACAGTAGAACTTATTACAGTAAAAGGATTTTAGTACTGTTGAGTTTTAAGCCATATTTTACCATATACATTTTAAATAATTTTAAGTTTTTACCATCAAAATGAAAATACCATGTGAATCCTACGACGGTGGTTTTCTGTGCAGTTTACAGTCTGTAATATAAATAAAAAACTTTATTTTGTATAAATTCCTTTAAAATGTTGTATAAATAAAGGTTTTGCCATCAGATATCACAGAGTTTTACTGCTTTACAGTGTACAGCAGCAGTTTTGGACCCAAACCTTCGTATGACCAAAACCAACCAAACAACAACAGCATCAACAACAACAAACAAATTAAACATCATTATATCTGATGATTTGCACGTTCTCCTAATTTTCAACCAGAAATATTTAACATTTATTTTCATTGTGTAGAGTCCTAAAACTGAGACACAACAAATTTAAATTCTAAAAAAAAAAAAACATATACAACATAATACTGTTGGCGTCATACAAGAAAAGAATGTTATAATATTACATAAGAATCTGGAAATATCAATATAAGTCATAGCAATAAATAGATAACACTGATTATTACATTACTTCAAGCAGCAACAGTGACACCAGTGACACAGACGTCTAATATTCACTCAATCCTCCGGCAGTTTAGGAATGAATACATGACATCCCCTTTATTGATCTTTCCATTTCTGAAGGTAAATGATTAATGGCCATGTTTGTATTGATTGATATGCTACTTTGCATGATGCAGTATTGACACAACAACGAGTCCTCACACTAACTCCCTGCCCTCCCTTCCAGAAAATCCTCTCCGATCATTCAGGACCCGGCTCTTCCCAGCACAACCAGTCAGCCAACATGAACTCTTTACTGGTCGGTGGTGGAAGCGACGCTGGGGAGAACCCTCGCTCGGCCCTCTCCCCGCTGACCAACTCGCTCCTGGAGCAGCTGGAGGCCCGCATTAAAGAGCTGAAGGCGTGGCTGCGAGACACCGAGCTCCTCATCTTCAACTCCTGCCTCAGACAGCACAAAGACGCCTCAGAGCAGCTCCAGAGCTTCAAGGTAGGAAAAGCAGTTAGCTGAGTATGATGATGGGCAATGTCAGCTTCTGTTGGGTTGCTGTCATATCAAGACTTTAGTAATCAGTAGCTCTCAGGTAGCCCAGAAAACTGCCTGTTAGAAATAACATTTACATGAAACAATCTTACATTACCAACTACATTTTGGGGATATTAGCCAGATCATACAAAAGTTATAAAATTCACTGCTATGTCGCACGAGAGAACAGCATCTCAGAGCAAAGCCCCACCAGACTCCACTGACAAAACCAGTCATTTTACCTTGCAGATAACTGGTAATCACACTTCGAACTGGACAGAAACAAATTCAAACTCACCAAAACCATCATTGTTAGTCTTTCCAACAATCACCAACGCTGGTTTGGTGGAAATAAACCTTTAATTCTCTGTGTCAGATGATAAAAAATTGCGAAAAAAAAGGCTGGAATGACGGCAGCAAAATCCTTGTGCTAATGCTTGTTTCGCCAGTGACAGGCTCAGATTATTATTCTCAGTGTCGGACAACATTATGGAAAGAATCCCGACAGAATCACCTCACAGAAAACCGTAAAACTCACTTTAAAGTGGACAGAAACCAAATAAAACTCATCAAAACCATCTTTGTTAGTCTTTTCACTCCAACAATCCCCAACGCTGGTTTGGTGGAAATAAATCCTTCATTCAAAACAGTAATTTTACCTTGCATACAGGGGCGTGTCAAGAGGGGGGGCCTGGAGTGGCACTGGCCACCCCGACATCTGATTGGCTTCAGTCAGTAAACGTTGATCAGGTAAAGTTTTCCCTGATATGTGTAGTACTTCAGATCAGTTATTATTACACAGCAAAAGGGAATACAGGAACAGATGTATTTTATAGATAAGTGAGAACTAGAAAAACTAGAATACTGTATATACATTATGATCATGTACTATAGAAAATAAAGGTAGAATTAAATACTAACTCACTAATAGAGTGAGAAAATAAAGTTCGGTAGCTGCTTCATGTACAGCATCACTTAACTTTTCTTCACCAACTTTTTCTATCAAATATGTCACAGTGCTTTATCCAATCAGCATTAAGCTTTAAAAAAACAGGTTGGCTGTGTGTGTGTGTGTGTGTGTGTGTGTGTGTGTGTGTGTGTGTTGTTGCTAAGTATAGTAATACATCGTCTTAATGAGGCCAGATGAAAGCAGGGCTGTTTTGAAGCGATGGATGTATAGAGGAAACAGCAGTTAGCCTTAAAAGCCACGGGACGCTAACAGGATATTAATCAGCCTACATCACACAGCGAACAGCTAGCTGCGCTGATTAGCCTAGCCCTGCCGTGTGACTGACAACCAGAGACACACATACACACACACACACACACACACACACAGTCATACTAGTGTATACGCTGAAATCTATACAGACAGAAGTGCATTAATTCATGTATATATGTGTGATCACATACTGACAAGTCAACACACACAGAAATGAGTGACACATGCATACACACTCACACACGCATAAATAAATTAATTCAAATGAATGAATGCAGAAATATATAATATATACATGACTGTAGTAACACATAAATGGAGCACACACTTCTACAGACACTGCAGAGACGACACAACCCAGCTCAGAGATACTCTGCTGTTTTGTTGTTTCATTCAATGATAAAGATTCTTGTACTTGATAATGATCAAATGGTTATGATATAACAACATAAAAAGCCTCCTTTTAGGTGTTAAAACAGAATAATGAGCAATCCCCTTTTGTGTAATGTTTCTGCGTGTGTGGTGTTGTACTGGTATTAGACTGGTATTTTAACATTTAGGAGGATCTATTGTTAGAAATGGAATATAATATTGTTTTTATTTTTATTAGTCTATAATCACCTGAATAGAAGAATTGTGTTTTTTGTTTATTGCAATCTGCAACTACACCAATATAAAGTCAAAGTCAAAGTCAGCTTTAATGTCAATTCTTCACATGCACCACACCTACAAGGAATCGAGAGGACGTTTCTCATTCACCCACGGTGTGCACAGGCACAACTGATAAGACAAGACATTTCCTAATACTAAAATGTAAACATTCAATTTCACAACAGACAATAAAATATAAAATATACAATACTTATGGTAGTGGTATGCTCCTAAATCCTAGTTATCATTATGGATTTCCCATGTTTTTTTTAGTTTGTTCACATTTCTATAGGCTAATACAAATAACATTAATTTTGTAAGAAGTTTTTTTTAAAGTTTTTAGTTAGCTCTTGCAAGGAGAGGGTGAAGTGAGGAAGATGCATTCTGCAACTACACCACTAGATGCCACTAGATCCTACACACTGGACCTTTAAGTGGACCCAGAAGCAAACACAGAACTAGGGGAAACATTTCGGTTCCAGTTTCATTTATATTTACAGCTTTGAGAGCTGCTCATTGTCGCGTTAAGTCATCTTGTGGTTGGATGTAATATCACATTTGTTCCCATTAACAGCTGTAATATTTTGGTCATAATGGTCGGAGGAGAGACAAAAGCAAGTGTTGCAAGTGCAAACTTAAGAGTTACCAAAACGACCACACCAAAAAGTCACCAAAATCAGTCCATATCGCCATAAAATCAATGACTTTTGTACAATCTGATGATATTTTTGATGTCCTCCAACATCGTGGCAATCAGACAGAGACGAATTTATGTCAGGTTGTGAATCGGTCAGTATTAATATGAACACAGATGCATCAGTGTAAGCTCAAACACATATTTGTACACACACAAACACACACACACGTACACACACACAGGCTGCCTAAATGATGAAACTGTATAGAAACGAGACTTTATCTGAAGAAAAGTGAGCCGAGCCGCTCTTACTTTTGATCCTTGTCACAGCTCTCAGTGGGAAGCCATTGATTTCTGGCAGAAAGAGGCCCAGAGCTTCTGGAGAAATGAAGATTGGAAATATTGATAGCAGTCATTTGTATGGAGAGAGAGAGAGAGAGAGCGAGAGAGAGAGGCTAAATGGAGAGAAAGGGGGCTCCATTTTAAGAGAAGTCAGCTCCATTTTAGCGATCATTTGTCTGTTTTTGGCGTTTGGGGCCGTAAATGGGTTCGATTTCTGCGCCTCAGCTTATTACTGTACGGCTGTATGAGAAAGCAGCGGGGATCGGCAGAGGTCACAGGGGCACACACAGATTTACAAACGTATATTTATAAAAAAAACACACACATACACTGACATTTATAAAAAAAAAACACACATGCATGGACACAAATGTACGGCGATATTTCAAAGAGACACTGCTGCATTAAGACCAGCACTCACTCACTAAAGCACAGAAGTTACCGTATAACTCAAAGTGACCTGACCACCATCCATCAGAGGTGAACATGCATTCACATTGTTTGATTCGATCTGTCGAGGCTTTGAGATATTTACCACTGAGATTTCTGCCAACAACACAATGGAGGTTTGAAAGTGGCTCAAATGAAGAAGTTATCTCCATGCTGATTGTGAACAGTTTGCACAGTGGATTGTCTGGATCACTGTTGTCACCCAACCTTGCGATCGAGGCCCTGAGTATGGGTCGCGAGGCATTCTTGATTTTAAAGCGTGCTAGAAAACATAAAACATATACACAGTAGGGCAGTATATCTCAGTATTCAGTTCAGTTCGTCAGGGGCAAGAAAACACTGAATTTGTCAAAAAAAGAAGCCCATAATATGAAATATCCATAAAATATGTCACTGAGCCAATTTACTAATGGTTTCTGATGAGAACTCAGACTGTGGGAGAGATCTAATAGCCTTGGGAAGAAGTGTGGACCTGTCTTCTCAGGAAAGAAATTCCAAGTTCTCTGTTTTGTTGTTTTTGGTTGTATGCTGCTTTTTGGTTGCTTGGGTGACCCAATCTTTCACATTCACAGTCAGAAACATCAGTCATTCTAAAACACATGCTGTGTCATTTGATCCTTGACGAACCAGTTCGATGTCCTGTTAAAGAGTAACTTCACACCGCTGTCTTGGAGTACACCTGTACATCACTGCAGCGAGGTGAGAACTGAAACCACTGCAGATCAGCAGAAACAAGATTTTCAGGAGGTATTAAGTTACTCTGTCCCCCCCGCCCCACCCCCCCAGTCCCCCTCCTCCACCTGCCTGTCTATAACCTGACTCTTAATTAAATTAGCGCTCCTTTAAGATATGGCGTCAGCCAGACATTCCTCCAGCAGGCCCCGGGCCCCCGATGACTCTCTATTGTCGCACAGACGCTCTGGGCCCTGGACACACCGAGAATTAATAGACTGAGCTCACACACACACACTCACACACACAGTGGAAGCAGGTACAGACACAAATACCGCTCTCCTGTGTGTTTGGGTATGAATATGAATCACACACTGACGGCTCCGTCCAGAAGGTTCAGTGCTGCTGCTTTTCTTGCATCTTCTCACTTTATAACACTGCAGTGAAAACACCCATCTTCAAATCAAAGAACACTTCTTCCAAACACTGATTAATGATTTTATCACTTTTTCAGAAAATATTACGTCTTTACTTTTTCTGTGAATCAGATTTTTTAAAATAAATTATAAATCTTTTCTGATGCTGCCACACTTTATTAAGTTTTTGAATTTAAAAAAGGGAAGAAAACATCTTTCTGAGTGATGGTTGGGGTCATTCTCAAAAAAATTTAAAATTCAGCACATTTTCATATGATGAGAACAACTCTGTTTTACCTTTGTGATCATGTGATCACATTATTGATATTATTTAAATCTTAACCTTCCTGTTATAGTAACAGATTGATCTGAAAGTATTTCTTAATCACAGAACAGTGAAATAATGATCAGGAAATAAACATTTTTTGAACAAAAGTCAACTCTTATGATATTAGATATTTTGAGATGATAAAATTCATTTTTGTCCTTTGTGACCTTCCATAGAAAACAGAGGCGATAACATTATATTTTTTTCTTTCTTTCTTGGAAATGGAAATGGATTAGTGTTCGTGTT